AATTAGGGACGGCTAGCGCAGATAGCCCTCGTGTAGCTTTGCGCGAAATTCAAAAACAAACAATTTAAAATGGTCGTTGCACATATCACAGTTATTTTTCTAATTGTCTGAATCTTGAATACCCAAAGTGTGAATTGTTTATGGATTTTTGTCACGTTCATAGATAGATACATATATACATATTATGTCCATTATAGTAAGATGTTTAGTTCACAGCGAATTTCTAACTTGTACCACTATGGCCAGAATTATAGATGGAGGAATAGACATGGTCCTTTCCGAGGAAGGATACTGGTATAAGGAGATTTTTCAACGACAAAGAGCCAAAGAACACATTTCAAAGAAAACAACCTTCAAAAATTCTCGACGAAAGCGTGAAATCTCGCATAGTAGAGTGCTTAGAAGAACAATGGGGTCCAAACTTAAATGCCAAACCAATCCAGAGCAACGCCTTCATCTGCAAGTGAAGGCTGTGGTTGCAAAAAATTATCTTCCAATCGAAAAAAGCCATTGCAATAAAATAAGACATGTTATTAAGGGCATAGTTAGTGTCTCCAATATCCGTTAGTTTAGTAAAGTGAGTCTTTCATTGGTCATCTAAGAATTTTCAACTATACACACTTCTAACCACGTCTGTGTATAGCTTTGACACAAACTACTAAATTCCTTATCCTCTAATTACTTGTTCTGGGCCATTCTCTTTGGGTAGTACATATGCTTCCTAATTTTAAAAAATGATGTAAGTAGAACACATTATGTAAAAATGAACAGTAACCTTTAGGATATATCCTCTCTGTTTTCCTATTGGAATGACCAACAGTGAGATGCATAGTACATTCACGCTGAGAGCGATGGTCCGATACAGAATATGTACATAGTTCTATACTTTCGTAGTCTTAAGGAGGCCTTAGCTTTTAACAGAATATAGATCCAGAGCAGTTAAATCTCCAGTGTTAGCGCCGTCTACTATTCTGTGCACATTTAATAATGTTCACCATCCATGAGAAAAAGGATTTTATTGAAATTTTAGTTTAAAAATGAGCTATCATCACAGCATTACATCACAGGGTAGATTTTATTGAAGTATTTCTTTGCAGACACAGTTATCAATGAAAGTGTCTTGTTTTTCTGTTGCAACACTCATGCGATTTTCACTAAAGAAAACAAATATTTTTTATAAGTTTGTTTCTTATTGTTTTGTATTTGAAATGTACTCCTTTTTGTAATTTTTATTGCTAAATCTGAAACTTACTCCTTTTTTGTCTGTAATTTTTATTGGTTAAATCTGAAATTTAATCCTTTTTGTATGTAAATTTTATTGGTTAAATCTGAAACTTACTCCTTTTTGTCTGTAATTTTTATTGGTTAAATCTGAAATTTATTCCTTTTAGTCTGTAATTTTTATTGGTTAAATCTGAAACGTACTCCTTTTTGTCTGTAATTTTTATTAGTTAAATCTGAAATTTACTCCTTTTTTTGTCTGTAAATTTTATTGGTTAAATCTGAAAAATATCAATTTCAATTGTTTTATTTATTGCTCAGCTATAAAAATACTTTCTAGTTATAAAAATATTATCCAGTTTGATTGGTGATGATCGGTGCGGTAGTTTCCGAGATCCGAGTTTTGGACGTATACATCGCAAGCTCCATTATAATAATATTACACGATTAATGCCGTCATTGCTTTGTATGTAGAATTTGCAAATTTACTACTCAAACCTTGAAAAAGCTCCATAAATGTAAATATTTAACTGTTCCAAGAAAAGCGTGAAAGAAATCCAGTGTATTTACTTACTGTAAAAAATATTATTTAATTTATTAAAAATGTTATAATTGTTTTAAACGGCGTGTATTTCTTAGTCTCGTAATCATAACACCAACTTAAATAGAATTTAAAGAATATTTTTATTGTTTCTACATGTAAATAGTTATATTAATATATTTCATTAATTATTTAGCATAAAAAAACATACTGACAGACCACCTGGTGACCCAATTACAGATTAATTTACTCTGCAACATTTTTATTAATGATTCAATTATTACTTCTTTGGTTTTATTGTTTACGACCTTTAACTTATGCATACTTATATCAATATTACCTAAAGTTTACCTTTTTTGATCTCAGTGAAAATGACCTTCAGGTCAATTCCAAGGTGACATATATTTTTAACCTAATCGCATCCCATGTAGAGTTGATCTTTGATGGGTGCCTACTTTTAGCAAAAATGTCATCACAAATTTCCTTTGGACCATTGTCAGGTAAACTATAGAATCTTACAACGCTAGAATCCGAGTTTCGATACCCGTGGTGGGAAGAGCACAGATAGCCCATTGTGTAGATCTGTGCTTAATTACAAACAAACAAAACTATAGTGTCTCATCAACTAACGCTTTACGCGTGAACTTGTAAGAAGCCTATATGTTTGGTAACATACATCTCTAATAACATCAAAAACAAAAGGCTCGCACATAAAGGACAGACATTAAGAGAACAATACGGAAAAAGGTAAAGCTTACCTCAGTGAGAGAGATGTTTGTCGAAGAAGAGCCCATTTAACGGTAGTTACACATCATCTACCTTATGGTTTTTGAAACAGAACAAAAGAGAATTGAAAGGAGCGAAGAACGTTCAAGAATGGGTCGAGTGTTAACATGCCAAACTGTGGATCTGAGGTACCTTGGTTTGCGTCCCGTTACGACAAAAAATATATATATATATAATTCGCTCCATACTTTGATTTCGGGTCGTGGGTTCGTTATAAGAATAACGGTCAAATCTCACTATTCAGTCTGACAAGAATAGCCCAAGATTTGGCGGTGGGTGTTGTTGACTAGCTTCTAATCTATCATTTCAAAATTAAGGGCAACTTGTGCACATAGCTTTCGTGTTGTTTTGCGAGAAACTCAGTAAACATATCAACAAACTTTCAAGTGCTAAAGAATAGTTTTTTCAGGTAGCAGTGGAATATGTTCATGACGAAGTTGTTAGGAAAGTAGTTTTGAGATTAATAATACGAAAATGTTTAGTTGCTCTTAGTAACATTAATTATAGACATATGTCCACACGTGCAGCATGATTTACGTCACTAATTGTGAATTTTAAAACTAGTTTTTAGTGCAAAGTCATTTTTCACGGCTGTAAATACGTACTTCTATTAACGCAGTAAAAACTGCTTTATTATAAAAAAAAAATCGGTAGACTTGAGAATAGAACATAAAAAGAAACTCACCTATAGTAGTCGCTCAGGGTCCTGGCGTATATAATTAAATCACTTGGATTAGTGACATGCTAGAAAAGTAAAATGTATATATTGGCAAAGAATGTTAAAGTTTTATACAACTAAAGTCATCAGGTGTAACATTGGGTTTACGGACGAACACATCGTTAAAGGAAGGGTGCCAAACTGATGAAACAATGCGTTCTAATGTTTGTAAGAAAAAACAGTATTTTTAATTAGTTATTTATTTATCACCAGGCTGATTTTTAGTTTTGTTTCCAGTTGGTAGCTTGCTTTGATCACGAGTTAATATTAACTAAGTTTATATTTTCACATAGAAAACAAGAGTTCATTTATTATTGCTTGCTGATAAACCATGCATTAAAATTTAAAGCTAACGTGTCGACTAAAATAACACAGGAAGTACTAATAGTTTGTAGTATAATCTAAAATGTTATTAATCAATATCAGTAAGAGCGGAAAAACCTTCTTACCAATTAATGTGCAATTAATAGTTCATACACTAAGATATCGATAACTTTAACGATCAAAGTATTGGTTACTACTTCTTAATCAAACCTATGGTCCCTATTTCTTTGGTTAGACTTGTTTATTCTCAGCACAGAATAGACAACAGAATAGCTGTCGTTCACTTTGGTTTTGGTTTCTATTTTCTTTTTGGTGTAACTGTTTTAGTCAACCGTTAGAGTTTTAGGCTTAGTTAAGCCTACCTTCCTTTTTTTTTTTTCTGTCGTCTCGTTAGTCTAAAGCAATAAAGGTTAATTAGTCCGAGTTTGTGTGTAGCAACATGCGGCACATAAACATAAGTCGGAAAAATTCCGTCTTTTTGACGGTTTCAACGGGAATTCTTCCCCATGAAGTTTATGAAGCCTTTCATGACCAACTAGGAAATGGTTCGGTTGAACGTCTTCAACCACTTGAGCTTTGTAACTTTGTTGCACTTTCACATTAGCTAATTATACAAAAATTTCAGTCTCACCACAGCTGGAAGTGGGTACAGATGAGGAACTTATCTCATGAAGTGCTAAATGAGTGTCTATCTACGGCACTCATGGAGTACGGAAACGTTCAGACAGTTGTACGGGAACTGTATCCCTATACACGTATTTGTACTGGAGCAAGGCAGATAAAATTAGATATGTCGAAAACTTTGTTCAAGTGTGCCAGTTTAGGGTAACTGTAAACTATACTGGCATGAAATAGGTATGTAGAAAATGTAAAGGAGAAGGACATTTTGTTGTACAACGTACCGATGTTCTCTGTAATAGGCGTGTCGAACGGTCACGAGTCAAGTGACTGTAACAAGGGGTGTAAGAAATGTGGGGAAGGTACCTGCAACGTTAAGACGTCCATTGTAGGTACAGGTGAGGTAAGTATTGAAGAACAAGTGAATGTAAGGAAACGTTAAACTATCTATTAACTAGAGGTAGTTAAAGACCTAGAAGCTGAAGAACAAGTGAATGTAAGGAAACGTTAAACTATCTATTAACTAGAAGTGGTTAAAGACCTAGAAGTTGAAGAACAAGTGAATGTAAGGAAACGTTAAACTATCTATTAACTAGAAGTAGTTAAAGACCTAGAAGTTGAAGAATAAGTGAATGTAAGGAAACATTAAACTATCTAGTAGAAGAAGTGGTTAAAGACCTATAAGTTGAATAACAAGTGAATGTAAGGAAACGTTAAACTATCTAGTAGAAAAAGTGGTTAAAGACCTATAAGTTGAATAACAAGTGAATGTAAGGAAACGTTAAACTATCTATTAACTAGAAGTAGTTAAAGACTTAGAAGTTGAAGAACAAGTGAATGTAAGGAAACGTTAAACTATCTTTTAACTAGAAGTAGTTAAAGACCTAGAAGTTGAAAAACAAGTGAATGTAAGGAAACGTTAAACTATCTAGTAGAAAAAGTGGTTAAAGACCTAGAAGTTGAAGAACAAGTGAATGTAAGGAAACGTTAAACTATCTATTAACTAGAAGTAGTTAAAGACCTAGAAGTTGAAGAACAAGTGAATGCAAGGAAACGTTAAACTATCTAGTAGAAGAAGTGGTTAAAGACCTAGAAGTTGAAGAACAATTAAATGTTAAGTGAATCCGAAAGTCAGGTAAGTTCTAATATAAAAGGTGTAGTTAATAAGAAATGTAAAGAAAAGAGAGTATATGACACAAGTACTGAAGATGAGCCAAGTTGGGTGAGTATTGCAGATTCAAAGGTCAGAGACAAATACGAGTTTCTTGAGAAGGACTTACTGTTATCCGAAAGTGAAGATAAAAGGAAGAAACGAACGTTGTCCAAATCGTCGGGGAGTAAAACTTCATGTAAAAAGGCTCGACGTAAGCGACGGAAGTAAATGTGTTTTTGTATTCCTGGTTTTGAATGTCTATTGTGCAAATTTTGAAGCTTTGTGCTGTTTGTGTTTTAGTGAACGCTCCTGAAGAAGCTGTAAAGCGAAACGTTGAGTGTCTAATTAAATGAAAACAACATTTCGGTGTTATAAGGTCGTACATTTCTAGTATTAACCGCTATTATAAGTCGAAACACAAAGTGGCCTTGATAAAATGATTTGCTTGTATGGTGTACCGTACCAAAATTCTTTCAGCAGGCCAGATCGTACCGATGTTGACAACATTATGAAACACTTTGTACATATGGAACTAAGGCTATTATGAAGCACTATCTTTGCAGGTATGAAAATATATTTTTGTTACATTAAAGTTGGCAATCTGTTATCAAAAACTTTTTAAAGACATTCCAATCAACTCATATTTCGCTCATGGATTTTACGAATTTTAAAATATCATCAGTCATGTGTAAGACTCTAGATAAGTTGGTTATCTATTTAGAAAAAATGGTGATCCAGTTGTAAGTGTGCACAGAAGCCTAGGGTTCATGGTTCGTGTCCCATTGTCAGAATAAAAAAGAAAATATTGTAATACATACCAAGAAGAAATTAGGTTCTCGACTGATGAAAGATTTATATTCCTTCTCCCTGTAGAAAAACAAACTACGATTTTTTTACAGATAAACAAACATAAAAAAGAAAAATGCAAAACTAAAATACACTAATATATTTGTTAAGTTTATTCTTAGTTTAAATTCCTTATGAGCAACTTGTAGAGGAACGCTTTTTAAAAATATTTTCAGGATCTTTGTTAGTAGGATAACAGTGTGAAAGTGATACATGGACCGTTTTGTTGATATACCTGCACATTTGTTCTTTACACAAGTAACAATAACAATTATCTCGATGAAAAATAGTAATATTGAATAGTAATGAAATGATTAAAACTATTGTCCAAAGCTTAATAGCTATGGGAGATGGTTGGGGGTTAACTTGTGTTAAATCTTTGGGGGTTTGGGGTGGACTAAATGCTATTTTTTGCTTACGTTTTCCCGAGTTACTAAAACGGAACTCCGTATTGACACCATACCTGCAAGGTTTTCGGCATAGTTTTTTACAGCTGGACTGAATTTCAACTCTTTTCTCTGTCGTCAAAAGTTCTCGGCATTCTGAAAAATATCGACAAAAATGTTCAGTAAAGATCAAACGTTTTACTCACAGCTCAAGTAAACTTCTATTATGTGTATATTTACTTATTTATTATGAAAGGTCCATTAGAAATTTCTCGACAGCTCTTCCTGGACTTGAAAAGGTAAAGAAATACGTTTTATTCATTTTATTTAAATCACTACGCACCAGAATTAATAAGGAGTTTTGAACACTGTATTATTTATTCATTTTAACACCAAACGCTAGAAACCGGGTTTCGATACACGTGGTGGGTAGGGCACAGATAGCCATTTGCGTAGCTTTTTGCTTAACTTCAAACAACAAACCTAATCGTCATTCAGAATGATTGGCGAACAAGCAAACCTGTGTTGTTTATTCTGTAGCGGGTGGTCTGGCATGGCCAGGTGGTTAGAGCG